GACATGCCCAAGATCATGTCGAATTTGGTGTCCAGAATGTCGAAGGACACCGCCTCACTTGCGTGAGGGGCAAAGTACACTGGGACGTCGTCAATGCACCGGTCGATTGACTTGTGCGTGTGACCGTCCGCCAATGTGACTTGCGTAGGCTGGGGCTTCCTTCGGACGCGTGGGCCAAGGCCAACGCGCACCATGAAGTCCTCGCTGATGTAGTTGCGAGATGCTCCGCAATCGATCAAGGCACTGCAGGTCGCCTCTCCGATCTGAATGCGTACGTATAGCAATGGTGCGTTGATGTCGTCGTACCGTTGCGTCTTGAACTCGCGGTCGATCTTCGCGATGTAAGCGTGAAGGTCGACAACCTCTGCTTCGGCGTCCATCAACGGAGCTGGTACTGCAGTGTGCAAGTAATCCCGCAATTGTGCCATAAGCACATTGCAATGCGGTTTCGGCAATCGTCCGGTCGAGGGAACGGGCATCCACTGGAAGTCCGTGAACGTCAACGGGTCGAGCTCATCAAGTCTTGACCATGACGTTGAATCCCCGGCGATAGATTGCGGCGAAGGTGCCGAATCGGTTGCCGATGGTGATGAAACCGTGCATGCGATGGATTGTTGCACGTGGAGCGGTTGGTCCAGCGGTGGAACCAAGTGGACAACATAGTCCTCGTAAGTGTAACGCGAACTTGCGACATTTGCGTTCTCCCCAAATGTGCAGGAGGCCGCTAGCAAGGCGGCCGAATCTGGCGGAGTAGAAGGTGGAGTCGCCTCACCTTCCGCGGAGCTTAGTTTCCCGAGCTGAGGCGGGGTCGCACATCCTCCTTCCCCTGATCCTGGCACAAGGAGGTCTTGTGCTTGGTGTTGTTGCACCAATAGCAGCTGCCGTAGCGGCCGCGGACCTTGTACTCCGCCTCGGTCAAGCCGAACTTGACCCATGGAACTTGYACTGGYTGTCCATTTCCGGCCTGCGATGCKGATTTCGCCTTCCCATTGTTGCAGGACCTGTTGTTGCTTCACGGCTGGACAGCAGCCACCTGATCTCCGTCACTTGATGCTCGAGTGGCTGTTGGGTTATCTCCACTGTCCGACTGGACTGCAGCGAAGTGCTGCTGTCGTGGACCAGTTCGTACCTTCTCCACATAGGTCGGCTGCCATGTTGATTTCTCGTGTGCAGCTGACCTGATGGTCTTGATGATCTCTCTCGCCTTGTCGATAATCTCGGCGAAAGTGGAGTACTGCTCGCGATCACCAAGAGCCTGTCTCAATGCAGCGCAAGATCTGTTGTAGAACTCACGTCTGAGATGTATGAATGGCAAGTCCAGATTGGGCACTGCCGCAATCTTTTGCCACTCCGTGAGCTAGTCCCGTGTTGCAGTGTTGCCCTCTGACATAGTGAACAGACGGTTGATGGCGAGTGCCGGCGCGTCGTCGATGATGAACCGCTTCTTCCACAACCGTGTCAGTTCCTCCCATGTGATTTTGTCCTTCAAGTCTGGTACGTCGACGCCGTGGGAGGTTGCCAGGTGGCTCAACCAGGTCTGGCATCCGCCCTTTGAGTTCAGGAACAGGGCGCCGATGTACGCATGCTTGGCTACGGGCAGAATCCTGAGTTGCGTTGTGAATGCTTCCCACCAGAGGACCGGATCCTGCTGCGTGTAGTCGTCGAACTTGTCCAGTTGGAAAGTTGGCATCTTGTACATATTCGGATTGTCATCCACGTTCGTCAACTGCAGCTGCTGGACCTCGGTCTTCAATGTATGCAGCTGACTGCTGATGGTGGTCGGCGCAGCGAAGGTGCTGATGTCACCGAGCATTGCCACTACGTGGTCAACGCGTTCCTCCAGTTGGCGGCTAGAGGGTGCACTGCTGGAAGCCCCAGCAGCTGGTCCTGGTACAGCCTGTTCCAGGTCCAGCAATCGGGCATTGAGTGCCCGAGTTGCATCCTTGTGGCCCTGCATTGTGCGGCGGAGCGTCGCCAACTCCTGATGCTGTTGCGTCACGTCCTGGTACTGTCTCTCCAACTCGGACCGTTGGTAGTTGCAAGCATACAACAACCGCATCACGAGTTTGGAGAGAAACTCCTTATGCTGTTCTTTCGGTGTTGCCTTGTCGCCGTTCGGTTCGAAGTGCCAGAACTTGAGTCTGTCGATGCTTGTGGCTTCATGCCGCTGCAGCAGATCCTGGGCTTCCTTGCGGCGAGCCTGGGCATATGCGTCTGCTTCGGTCTGTAGCCGCAGCTTCTCTGCTGCTGCCGCTTCGTCAGCCTGTAGCTGGGCAGCCTTGGCTGCCAGCTGGCGTTGTTCCTCAGCCTCGATTTGAGCGAGCTGAGCCTGGAAGCGCTTTTTGTAGTCGGCAATAGGCTCATTGGCCAGTTGGCCTGGCAGCCCCGTCATGTTGCTGACGTGGCACTGCTGATGTGGCACTCTGACGTGGCACTGTGTCTGACATGGCACTGCTGACGTGGCACTGATCTGTCTGACGTGTCACTGCTGACGTGGCACTGATGTGTCACTGCTGACGTGGCACTGATGTGTCACTGCTGACGGGGCACTGTCTGATGTGGCACTGCTGACGGGGCACTGTCTGACGTGGCACTGCTGACGGGGCACTGTCTGACGTGGCACTGCTGGCGTGGCACTGTCTGTCAGACGTGTCACTGTACCAGAACGGAAATGCAAGCAAAGGGGTGGGTGGGAGGGAAAACGCAGGTAGGAAACCAACCCAACAATACTTTCCTCCGGCCCTAATCAACAGATAAAAATAAAAATAAAAGAGGACTACTTCCTTCTTTTTTTTTTTTTTTTTTTTTGTATATCTGTCGATCTGTTATGCGTGAGACATGTCAGAAAGTACGATGAACGAGATCTAGGGTAGGCTAGCAAAGTTTCGGCTTTTACCAAATGCAATCTTGAAAAGAAAAATTTTGCGAAATAAAGTAGAGATGCGATTTTCAGAAAAGGACCAACTCCCGTTCCTGGAATATGAAAATCTTCGATTATGCCAAAAATGCCATGCTGATAGGCTCCGCAAGATTTCAATTTTCAAAAAATTTTGCGAGATAGAATGGAAATTCGATTTTCAGAACAGACTAAATCCGGTTTCCGAGAATATGACCACTTCTATCGTTATCCTAATAGGCCCAGAAAACGAAATGTTCATATCAGAAATTTCAGCTATGCATGCAAAATATCAGAACGAAATGCTACTTTCAGAAAGTTCGGATATTTGTTGCGTAAAACGAAATGCAAATATCGGAATTTCCAAGTAGATCGTAATGCTATTATCAGGAATTTCAGATAAAACGAAATGCGATTTTCAGAAATTTTCAGATATTGGTTACGCAAAAACGAAATACTAATATCGAAATTTTCAGAAAAAAAACGAAATGCGATTATCAGAAATTTTCAGATATAACCAAATGCTATCATTACGAATTTCAGATATGTGCGAAAGAAAGAGAAAAAAAAAAAAATTCAGAGATTTGACGAAGTCCTACTTGATTTACTAGCCAAAAGATCAATAGATCGAGCAAGCTATCTACTTGATTGAGCGGGTCCTCTGAATGAGAGGTCCGCTCCGATACCAAACTGTTGCATACTGTAACGTGCAGACCAGAACAAGAACCGACCTCTCAATGCAAAGTACAAGATGGCGCAGCCGGAAGACTTAGATACCAATGATCCAATCAATCAATGTTGCAATGCAGCCCAGAACATACATCATCATCATCATCCCAGAGTGTGAAAGGGGTCTGGCGCTTCACACAGGAAGA